AAAAAAGTTTAAATACTAATCCTTCATCTTCAAAATGTTCACTTCAGATTTGTTAAAAGTTTGGTATCTGGTTCTTAATCCTCGGGGTCTCCATTTAGAATGCCGGTAATGTTGTGTTGGAGTTGATAATCTTTGCCTTTGAGCTAAAATCAGGTCCTGATAAATAGGACTCCTGGAAAACCATTGCAGAGATTTGTATGTGATAATAAGAATAGGAAGTGCAGTTAATCCGTGCCCCTAACCTCTGGGTGGAACCTGTAATTACTTCTGTTGAGCTTGGCAGATTAAAACCCAGTGGCCCCGAGGCCGGTCGGCAGCCACCTCGCTCTCTGCTGAAGCTGACAGGAATGCCAATGCTCTTTTGAAGGTGACACCCGGCTGGACAAGCTCTCCAGATCAGGTATCATCTGACTGTTCTGCAGGTTGGTGGCTGTGTCTCAGATGGTTAATCTGAGAAGATCCACTGATTTAGTCAAGTTAATCCAAGTCATGTACATGCAAGAAAACACTAAATTGAATTTATTTTACATCCTACCAGTTGAAGGTATCTTCATGAAGAACAAACCAGATGCGCCAACAACTCCTCACAGTAGGGCCAGTCAAAAAACTTCAAATAAGTTTGTGCTAATTTTATTTTATCACAGTTAAATGGGCATAAATGCCATATTTCATGGATATTCTGGCAGAATTACAATGAAAGCGAAGCCAGAAGTTGTGTCCCTGCAGCCAATTTTACTACATTATTAAGTCAATAATTAACTTTTTGTTTGGGTAAAAGTTTATAAAATAACAATTATTTTACATTATAACATATATTTGGAGTTAGAGTTGCTGTTTACAAGAACTACAACTATGGTGATAATAAATCAAAGGCCTTTTATTGAAAAATGGTTCTGATCCAAGTGTAGAGTCCTTTACTCTGTCATGAACCGTAGCAATTAGTGAAATTTAATAGTTCTCAGCCTTCAGTGTGAATATTCAATCCCACACGTGGTCAATGTTGGCATTAAACTAAATCACATGCTGAAAATCCCTAATCAATACATGCAGGATGATGATTAACAGAGATTATGTGGACTAGTGCACACCCTAGTGGGGAAATAAGGTCATTTCATTAGTGCATTAATAAAATGAGCTAATAATGAAGAAATAAAGAAAGGGGGTCGCTTGGATCTGAGTGGTCAGCGAGAGGACTTCAGATTTTTTTGTACAGCTCAGAGAGAGAGGAAGTGCAGAGCTGGAGGACAGAGAAGGTTTCAGGAGAATGTCTCACAGTGGTTGGCAGGGTGAGTAATAACGGTAGAGTCCTGCAGGGGCTTTAATGAGGTGCTTACGTCCTCCTCTCCAGCACTAAAACTTACAGAATATATCTCAGCTGTTCCTGCTCTGTCTGCCCTTTCTGCTCATCAGAATGATCTGCAGCTTAAGTGGGGAGGAGGTGAGTCAGATGTTCCTAACCTGCTAGAGTTGCCAAATGGCTTAATTAGTTCAACGGTTTTCTCCAATCAGTAATGTACAAATGTATATTTTATCATATAAAATGTAACTAATGAATAAACAAAATGTAATTTACTCTTAATGGGCCTCTTAAAAGGAACATTTTTGAGTTAACTAGCATGTATTTGCATAAATTAAAGGCTGTGTGAAGTCGTTTATAAGGCCAGAGCAGCTGTTCAGTCTGACATTCTCTCAGTGTGTTTGAACAGATAAAGGATCAGATGCACACACAATTGTGCTGTTATGTTTTTTAAATATTGTGACGATATTTTTTGTGGTCTGGCCAGTTTATGAGTTGTGAGATCTGCACTGATCTTTGGAAAGCACTCATCTAATCCAGATGCAGGTCTTAAAGATATCAAAGGAGCATCTGATCGACCGGCAAATGAACGAGTGAAATAGAAGCAGCAAGCAGACATTTCTATGAAAACGCTTGGATGCAGCACTCTGAACAAGCTGCTTCTGTAGCAAGATCATTTAGGCAAGGCAGCTTTATTTATAGAGCACATTTCAAACACAGAGGCAATTCAATGTGCTTTAACATTACCAGGACATGATATGAAAACAACATAAAAGCACAAATTACAATACACACAAATGGATTTACAGTTAAAAGGAGAAGACAAAGTTACAGCGCAGATTACAGTGGAGGTGACGCACGATAAGAAACAGTTCATTTGAAGACTGGTGAGTACATTAGAGTTTTTAGTTTTGTTTTAAACAACACTTGGGTTGGGGCACATCTGAGGTCATGGGGAAGCTGATTCCATATGTGAGCAGCATAGTAACTAAATGCATCTCTACCATGGTTTGTTCTGACCCGTGGTTCTACCAGCTGATTGTTTCCAAGGGATCTCAGAGCCCTGTTGGGTGTACAGTGTATATACAGGAATGAGATCAGACATGTGTTTTGGTCCCATGCCATTCAGTGATTTTTTTTGTTTAGTGGCCTTTTGTCCTGTTGAGGGTATGCCCTCATGAGAAATTGCTGCAGTAATTTTCTCCAAAAGACTGCTAAATTGCTTTGAAAAGCAGATATTAAACATCAGCGCCAAAAGACACTTCATTTCCCATGATGCTTTGCACACGGAAGCAATGTGAAGACATCACCGCCTAATACCAGAAACACATTCTGCGCATGTGCGGGAGCTCATGGACAGCTTTCCCGCGAACTCAGGCTATAAATCATCAACGGAACAAAGAAACTCCGTTCTTTTGCCCAGGATAACTGGCCGGTAAGGACATGCTCGTCGTACGCTCCGACTAACTTGAGCACGCGGGAAGTCTAAGTGCTCCAGTAGAGCTCACGGAACCGCTGGAAAACTAAACTGCAAGCCCATCAGGTCTGTCTAACCACTCGCTGCGCTAGCTGCTGAAGGGAGACCACAGAACCGGGTTGGGGAAATCCGCAACTCCGTCAAACCCGTGGAGAAACACTCGTGGAGGGAAACAACGGAGAAAGCATCAAACCGACGGACGACGCCGAAAACTGCGGAGAAACACGGAGAACCGTCAAATCAAACAGCGGGGGACGCCTTGCTGTTGTGGTGATCAGAAAACTCTCTCTCTCTCTTTTCTTCTCCCGTTTCCTCTATAGTCCAGAATAAGCAATAAAACCGCGCTATTGCTTAAAAGTAGCTTTGTGTTTCCTCTTTCGTTCCCAAATACGTCCGTCGGGTCATTTTTGATAAAGAATAAACTACTTATTGATCATTGTTTGAATATCTGGGTTGTGTCTGTTAGCTGTGGCCAAGTTGACAAACTTATCAGAAATTAATTCAGGATTAATCTTTTGTGTTGTTTCATGACCATTCTGAAATGTTTTGAGTGATTTTAAGGTTAAGTTACTTCTGATTCTAAGTGCCTTGGAAGTTAAAGTGCAAGTTGCCACCCTCACTTTGGCCAGACAAAGGGGTCAGCCATCTTGTATTCAAGACTCCATTTTGAATCCATACACACGCACACACACACCACTCCTTTGTGAGAACGGAGGACCCCATTCATACATCCTCCATCACACGCAAACACATCCATCTTATTATATCACATGGTTATCATTCATTTATTTCATTGTTTATTCATTTGACAAATTGTTTAATTAATTGTTATAAAATTCAGATTTTTGTCTCCAGTAGCTTTGTTGTGTCGAAGCGAAGTCTCTGCTCCTGGGATTCTACGAACTTCAAGAAAGACTGATAAGGTTTTGGATTCATTTCCCTTTCTAATTAAAGGGATGGTGCCCTGGGATATCTAAGAATATCTTAATTAATTAATAAATCAGTAAATATTCCCATATTTACAGAATTTATTGAAGAATCCAAAAGTAAGTTAAAACTTACTAATTATTCGCTCCTAATAACCCCAACAGTCCTTGTGAAGGGTGTCAATGACCGTCCTCTGGACATTTGTCTGCAGCATGACTGTGTATCCTACTGACCCAGACTGGGACCATTTAGAGGCTCAGAAACCTTTGCAGGTGTTTTGAGTTCCCTGTGACACCATGACTTTCCATTTATTATTATTTTCAGAATATTCAATTTTTCTGTGACAATTTAGTTTGTTCTTACAATCAAGACATAATTCTCAAAATTACAAGAAAAACTTGAAATGTTTTACTCTGTGTGTAATGATTTTATACATTATGACTTTCTGAAATGAGTGGAAAAAAAATGGAATATTTTATTCATTCTTTTTTTTAAACACACCTGTAGTTTCTGGCCACGCAGATCTTTCTTTGCCATGTTAATTTTGCAGGCATTGAAATTGCAATAATTAAATTGCAATGCATCACGCAGCTGCATACGGTGGGGAAATCTGATGTAAATATTGGCTTAGTTGCATGTTTTTTCATAAGGACAAACATTTGAGTGAAGTTGGGTTTTGGATTCTAACCACATGAGGGCAGCATTACTGCAACAAACCCTAAAACCCAAGTGCTAAAAATGACCTTCTGCAGATGACACTATACAGCAGCTGAACAACCCCTACGTGATTTGGGTTTATCTGAAAATGATAAGAGTGTAAATAAACTATGTTTTTATCTTCTGAAGAATAAACTCATCTCAGTGGCCTAGTGGTAGAGCCTGGGACTGGGAGACTGGGGTTTAAATCCTGGTCGGGTCATACCAAAGACTTAAAAATAGGACCCAACGCCTCCCTGCTTGACACTTAGCTTTAAGGGGTTGGAGCAAAGATTGCTGCAAAGGTGGTATTGGTCCACCCTGCACCCTTCCTTATGGCACCCCTGCTCTAAACTTGCAATAGAGATTGGGCAAATACTAAACTTTATTATACCATTATTATACCATTATTATACCACTTAGTCACCAAGTCATTTACAAAATTCAGCTGTGCACAATATATTTTTGCACAAATTGAAGCCATCATAATTATTAACAAAACAGTTCTTGTTAGTATTTGCTAACATGTGACATTTCTTAGGGTCTTGCTGTCTGAAGTGAGATCATGATTTTAAAAAGAGGCACAAAGAAAAACCACATCACTGAGATTATGAAGTGAACTTTATTTGTGTTTTTACATCACAGAGCGGAGATCAGGGACATGAGAGTGATGTTAAACCATGAAATCAAACAGAGCACATCAGACGGAGACCAGGACAAAGACCCATTAGACACTTAAGCTTTTGGCACCTTATTTTGTTTATGAGCAGTAAACAAGGTGACGACTGATTCAGTTATGACATAAAGAACAAAAAGTTGCACAACTTGGATTTTTTACTGTTGGAACAGTTAGCTAAAAAAAATAATAAACACAATAATAAAAATTCTGCTTCCATCGTTTAAATACATAGAAGCGTGAAACTATAGCACACTAAAAACGAGGCAACTGGAACGTTTCATTATGAACTCGACAGTGTTCTGCAATACTTTTACTTTATTTTAAATTTTTTATTCTGTGCATTAACTTACAAAATTGAAAGTATACAAAGCATCAAACACATTTTAAGTGTGAAGTTGGTGTTTTCATAGTGACTAAGCAGAAGTTTACAGTCGGTGTGGAAGCCAACACTAAACTCATGCACCACTGCTGCCGAGTGAAAAATGTGCCCTTTTATCAGCAAACACGAACAAATTAGACCGACAAAAGCCCAAAGTGTAACTAATGGTGAAATACAGTCAGGATTTAGTTCAAAACATCCCATAATCAGGGACACGTTAGCTATACAAACATTGAGATTATAGTGCTCGAGTTTTCTTTTTACTGTGCAGAAGCTGGTTGGCCAAACCGCCCCCATGCGACATGAATCAACACACTAACTCATACACCTAAAACTGTGCGTAAAATAGTTGTTTTCAAGTGCACTTCCAAAAATGACAGCAAATGTGTGTGTAAGTGGTCACTTGTCAGTCGCTTGTGAGTCGCTTTGGACATAAGCGTCTGCTAAATACATAAACATAAACATAAGTTGGACTACAGACAAACTCACCAAGGGTTCAATTATTTTACAGGGCATGCGACCCAGACTCTATCTGCAGGTTGTGTGAAGCACTGACATTATATTAGTACTGGTTAGACTGGTCTTCAAACCATAAACAAAACACAAGACCATCTGAGTCCAAGAGTCTGAGAAGCAAAGGAAATAATCTTACTGAAAAAACATATTTTAGATCAGATCGAAAAAATTTACGTTTTTTTTTTTTTTTTTTTTCTCGTTCTTGTCATCTGAAATCATTGCCTTTCAAATGAGCCTTTAAATATGTTAGGAACACTTAGGTTTTACAACTGCATGTGCAATATTCTGTTCATGGGAGATATCATCCAAGACGCTGAGCCAGTTGGATAAACGTGTTAATATTTGGGAATGTGTCACCCAGTCGTCACGAAAACCCATACAAAGGTTATCTCCTCTGTAAACCTGACTGAAAACAACAACAGTGCTCATTGATAACCATTAGAAATATGAAATACTCACAAATAACAGAATTATTTGTCTATCTAGATAACTGTAAACAAATTAGTTTAATTAAAGGGAAAAAGAAAAACAGTATTTTAGGGCTCTGTCAAATGAAAGCATTAAAACATTCTGCAGAAAATTTGAACCAGAGTCCCACTCGACCCCGCCGCTCCACCAGCGTGATGCGTCACCGTCATCAGGAATGAGATGCGCCGCAGCACAATAACCCAAACACATAAACATGTTAACATTGTTAACACACATTAATCGTATTACAAACACTTGACAGAATAACATCTGGAACCATTCTTCTGTGCAGCGACTGGTGAATGCTGGCACTCCCAGTCCAGCTGGATTTGGCAGTGGTCTTAACATTTGTGCTTCATGGCGAGCTGCAAGGAAAAATTAGGGGTAGGGAAGGATGTCAATAATTGTTTAAACAAATTAGCCCGCCTGCAAAAGGAAAAACAAATGAATGGATTATGTTATTTAATTAAACCTCAATCCTATCAGAGCTATTTTACATCAAAGGAGACTTTTCAAACCGATCCGATTTCAAATCCATAGAAACGAATACATCCTATTAACAGTGGTCTCAGATGGCTTGATGGACGGGTTATTAACTCATTCACTGCCAATGATAACTAAAGTCGTCATTTGGATGTTTTTACTGCCTAACCCTAACTCGGAACGAGCCCCCGCACCGTGAGGACAAAAAAAAAAGCCGATCTTCAACCACGTATGTCACACGTCACGTGATCAGGAAGCAGAAAGTCCATGAGTTAGGAGATCGTTTTGGGCCGCTGCTGTAAAAAAAAGTGAGGTGCGAACCGGAAAAGCTTCTGCCGATCACAATTCAACAACGGATTATGAAAGAACGGATAAAGCTTGATGTAAAGGTCCGTTTTTTCTTTGTTAATGCATGTCTGTGCAGTTACAAGTAATGCCCAGCTGGGGGCTCTGTTGCCTAGTCAGTGACGAGTTGTAGTTCCAGCTCAAACCGGAAACTTCACGCGGATTCTTCCTGATGTAAGAGGTAAGTCTCCGCTTTGTTTTGGTTGTTTTGGCATTGACATCATCCTAAAGCGCAACGTTCTGTGACTCTTCAAAAAAACTGTACAAACGGTGAGAAACGCTGGCAGCGAAGGGCATTACCGATCAGGAAACTGCTGGCAGCAAATGAGTTAAGAAGTGTAAGATGCATGATGTAAGAGTGACATTTTATGGTTCTTTATGGGTACTGTCCATGTATCCAAACAAACGAGTTCGCTCTCAGACACTCCTCCCTCCCGTTCATGAGTTTCATGGCTGTTGTCAGTTACGGCTAAGTGCCAGAGGATTCTAGATGATGAGAGGAAAGAGTCATGCACAGCAAGTCGATTCGTAGATAAATACATTTCATTCCATCATCCATCAACGCAAGGGCTCTTCGACAGGCACGCAAAGATGGACTGAGTAGGGCCCATCATTTTAACTAACCATTGAATGCAACAAAGAGCACACATCTCTGATTGGTCAGCGTAACACCAGCGACGGTGGGCGAACATTCCGCCGACAGCGCTGCCTCCTTCGCTCCAGTTTTGACTTTTTTTCTAACTTTAACTAAATAGGAACAATGACAAATTTCTTTATCAACACAAAAATCTAAAATGTTAATTTTTATTCACACCTCCTTCAAATTACTTGCGTTCACAAACTGAAGTAAATAAACTTGTCTACCACAGGCATCATTGCAATAGTAGGCAGACCTGCCAGAAAAGGTCTACGCCCCCTGCTGTTCTGGCTGAGAATTGTTTTTGCAACACTGGCACACAGACGGAGAAGTATGGCAGAAAAATGTCTCCATAAAACCGTGTGTGTGTGTGTGTGTGTGTGTGTGTGTGTGCGTGAGTGCAAAGTTGCTGACTGAAGTATAAACTGTACAAAAAATAACTGGCTGCTCCTGCTACTGGTTTCCATTCTTCCCACAATGCTGCTGCTTTTCGCTGGCCAGTGTTGAATTACAAATGTCAGTGCAGACTTGGCAACCTTGTGGGCTCACATTTAACTATTTTGCTATTTTGAAAAGAGAAAACATGGCAACCCCCCTCAGCTGGCTTAGAATGAAATCCCTTCCAATGTAACCTTACTTCTAAAATAAATGAGACACTAGACTGTTTTGTGATTATTTCACTGTAGATTGTTGTTTCTTTAACTAAAGCCACCAATCAAACACACACACACACACACACACTCACACACACACACACACACACACACACACACACACACACACACACACACACACACACACACACACACACACACACACACACACACACACACACACACACACACACACACACACCAGAATGAGTATGGAGTCTATTGCTGTAGATGGATAAGCGCTAAATTCTGTTCATCGATCCAGTGGGGGCAGCAGAGCATCGTGGAGAAATAAGAAGTTTTGATTAAAACTGAGCAGTGCAGTTAAATTATCTGCAGCCAGAAGGTAAGCTGCAGGAATGAGATTGCAAAGAAAAGGGGAAAAGAGAAGAAAAAAAATGTGTCAAGGTGACCCCTCTCACAGCACTGCAGAAGCAGACTGATGCAGTTGACTAGAAAGTTAAAACACATACAAACAGGTACGCTCACAAACAGCTGTAAGTAATGAGGAATTTAAGTTAATTACAAAAGTACTGATTTAGTTACATAATCAAACAAAATTACAGAGATTTTAGACACATCACTTCAGTACAAGCAGGAAATGTGAGCTTCATGTCGCTTTTCACAGATTTTCTGTGCAGGAATGTCTAATTTGATCACTGCTCAAAAAGACAAAGGGAACACTTAACACGATGTAACTCCAACTCAATCACACTTCTATGAAATCTAACTGTCTGCTTAGGAAGCAACACTGACAAGCAATCAATTTCACATGTTTTTGCGCAAATGGAACATGAGGTAGGTGGAAGTTGGAGGCAATTGGCAAGATATCCCCCAAAAAGGAGTGGTTCTGCAGGTGGTGACCACAGACCACTTCTCAGTTCCTTTGCCTTCTGGCTGATGTTTTGGTCACTTCTGAATGCTGGCGGTGCTTTCTCTCTAGTGGTAGCAGGAGACGGAGTCTACAAACCACACAAGTGGCTCAGGCAGTGCACCTCATCCAGGATAGCACATCAATGCGAGCTGTGGCAAGAATATTTATTATCTATTATCTTTTCCAAGAAGGGACATGAGAAGTACTGCCAGAGCCTTGCACAATGACCTCCAGCAGGCCACAAATGTGCATGTGTCTGCTCATACTAGAGGCAGACTGATATATTGGCCGGCCGATATATCGGGCCAATATATACAATTTTTTATATCGGCTGAAATTATTTTTAAAAGCAGATAAAAACAGTAAAATACAAATCAGGCGCCTGTGTGGCCAACTGCCACCACTATTAGACTGAAGAAAGGACCCGAAGTACCCCAAACACACAGTTATTTTCAAATGTTTTGAGTTTGTTTTATATTTGAAGTTGAATAAATATTAAAATATTTATTGACTTATTTAATTTATATTGCACACTGTGAGTGTTCAGTTGTCTTTCACAATTGTATATATATATATATATATGCCTTAGATATCAACAACAAAATTCTTTAAAAATCGGTATCGGCCTTAAAGAAACCATATCGGCCAGCCTCTAGCTCAAACAGCCAAAAACAGACTCCATGAGGGCCATACGTCCACAGGTGGGGGTTCTACTTACAGCCCAACACCATTTAGGACGTTTGGCTTTTTTCAGATTGGCTAATTCACCACCGGTGCCCTGTACTCTTTACATATAAGAGCCGGTTCACACTGAGCATATGTGACAGACATGACAGTCTGGGGAGTTTGGAAGTGTGTCAGGAATGGAGTGGGGTGGCATTTCTTTGGCTGAAGCTTGTCAGCAGTTCCTGCAAGACAAAGGCATTGATGCTATGGACTAGGCCGCCTGTTCCCCAGACCAGAATCTTATTGAGCTCATCTGGGATATCAGGACTCGCTCCATCCACCAGCGCCATGTTGCACCACAGACTGTCCAGGAGTTTGTGGATGCTTTAAGCCTGATTTATATTTCTCTGTGAGCTCCGCAATGGAGAGAAACACACGGAGAGTCGAACAGGTTTTCACATTCGAACTTATGTTCAGGCAGCGGAGTGTTGCAAAGCTATTCCCCACCAGGACAACAGAGGGCGTAGCGTTTTTCTGTGGTATCCTGCCACCATAACACTCATGTATCCGGCCCCCGATAGTGTATCTACTAACGTGTTTATATATTTCTGAGACTTTATAAAACGGACAAATTTTCCCTTCATTCTCCTCCACCTCCAAGCGGTCGCCACCTCTAAACCCACATTTCCGTCCATGTTTGCTCCGTATTTGTACTCCTTCAGTCACGGGGGAATAAATGTTCTTATTTTCGGCCTTTTTCCACGATGCGTTCTTCAATCTGTTCTGGGTCTGCCACTAAATATCTGTTTACTTTAATGGAGCTACAGCGGTGCTGGTGACTAATATACAGGAAGCGGCGTCCTGACCAATCACAAGCTGGTGGTCTCCGTCACTTTCGACAGATGTTTAAAATTTTGGGCATGTCTCCATCACCCTCTCTGAGCCCGTCGGAGAGCCCTTGCGCCGACGCATAATGGCGTTGTGTGTCTCTGCACCGACACAAACGGAGAAGTAAAATCTGGCTTTAGTCCAGGTCTGGGAGGAGATCCCTCAGGAAACAGTCCACCTCTTCAGGAGCCTACCCAGTCATTTTAGGGAGGTCACATAGGAACATTGAGGCCACACACACTACTGAGCCGCATTTTGACTTGTCTTAAGAACATTACATCAAAATTGGATTAGCCTGTAGTGTGCTTTTCCAAATCAAGACCTTCATGTGTTGATAACTTTGATTTCCATTGATATTTTTGTTGTCAGCTCATTTAACTATGCAAAGAACAATTATTTAATTAGATCTGGGATGTCCCATTTTGGTGTTCCCTTCATTTTTTTGAGCAGAGCATTTTGAAATTAAGTATGCAAAAGGTTAGATTCGAGTTGACTGGTTTTCTTTGGTAAAACTGCACAATTTTCCATTTCAAGACTAAGTTCACTGAGAAAATATTCTTCTAGATTGTTTGGGGGGCTGCGGGTACAGTCTGTCACTCAATCCGGCTTCTCCAAGATCAGCCACTTCAAAGAACTGGCTCGAAGAACCGTTTTATTCGGGACCAACATATCACAAGTTGCCAGTCCTTCCTTTCCCTCCCTCCCCTTCTCTTCTGATTTGCAGAAACTAAATTGAGGCAATCAATTAAAGTAGCTTTCTGGAATTTTCCCTTTCAGAAACTATGTATGATTTTTCAGAAATCTGTAAAAGTGATTGTCTCATCATGTACTGTGATATAATGTAAGCAATACATCCTATTTTTTGCTAAGCACGCCCCCTGCCCATCAGAACTCCGTTCAATAGAAAACTGAGTGCCGATCAGAATGGTAAATGGTACTGTAAATGGCCTGTTTATGTTTATGTTTATTTATTTGGCAGACGCTTTTATCCAAAGCGACTTACAATTAATAACCTATAGGGCATGTTGTGATCTGTGGGGGAAACCAGAGTACCCGGAGGAAACCCACGCATGCATGGGGAGAACACCCAACTCCACGCAGAAAGGCCACAGCCGAGCCGAGTTTTGAACCTGCAACCTTCGTGCTGCGAGGCAACAGTGCTAACCACTGCGCCACCATGCAGCCATATTGGATATAGCGCCTTCTAGAGTCCTGGAACCTCCCAAGGTGCTTTACAACACAATCAGTCATTCACTCATTTACACACACAATCACACACTGGTGGGGATGAGCTACGATGTAGCCACAGCTGCCCTGGGGCGCACTGACAGAGGCGAGGCTGCCGAGGACTGGCGCCACCGGTCCCTCCGACCACCACCAGCAGGCAGAACTAACCAATAGCGTTAGACTGTTTAGGTGCTTCAAATTGAACAAATACCTTGGCTGATGCAGAGTTGATGAATTTTTCACGGACAAATAAGTCTTTAAAATATATAAAAACACAGCATGACATGAGACTAATACTTGTAAAACAACGTGATTTAGCTCTGGTTGTCGGCCACAGAAGCACATTTATAAACAAGAAAAGTGAAGTTGCCATCTTAATAAATCGGATCGACTGACTATTTGTGTGATGTGCTTGTCAGCCACTAGATGGTGCCATTGGGTAAGAGAAATACTCTGGAAAAATTCTACATAATTTCTGAAAAGGGAAAACTCTGGAAGATTAGAATGGTTATCTTTCATCCTCTAAAGTCAGACATCTGATTTTAACAGACACACTTCTGAAAAACCAGTAGGTGTCTCACAATATTGTGCAAGTGATAAGGTTATGAAGCAAATACTATAAAAGCTAATGGGAACAAATGAAATTAGAAAAGGCAGCAAATGAGCAATTCACCATGGGATTCATGTATTTATTTTCTCCAGAAACTGTTCAAACAGTGGCTTTAAACTTTATCACAGTGGGGAAGCTCATCTGTGAGCAGTAATACAATCAGGCAAGGCTTCCCAATTGTCTTTCAATCAGTGCACCATCACTTCTAGGCTATAATGCATACCTCAGATAATGACACTCCACTTGTGCTCGTCAGCAAAGGTTTGAGTAATTTTACAATAAGAAATCAAACATTTAAACGTTTTAAATAGAAATATTTGTGTGTTATGAAGAAAAAGTCATGCATATGGTCTCATAAACAGCATGCAGTTAGTTTTCTTAATGGAAATTATAATCAAACGAAAATTACAGTTAAACACTTAAAAATAAATCCAGGGTGCATTATGGAAGTTTGACAGTCAAAACATGTATAGAAATAATACATTTCTTCTTCATACATTCTCCTGCAATGTCCTGGTCCTGTAGAATGAGCCCTGGCATTTTTACTGTGATTGCCTGTTTTTCTGTAAAATCACAGAAAAAGAGAGATGCTCGGGTCGAACAGGCTGCTTCATGCGCGTTCACGCTCAGGCATAGCCCGTAGCATTTGCTATCCGTAGCTTTAGCAGCAGAGAGTGAGGTAGTGCCACTTTGTCGCTGTTCCTAATGCCTAGTGATGAGCCTAGCTACCTTTCTGATGACCCTTAGCTACTTTCTTCTAGATATTTCCTGCAAATTTGCAACAAAATAGCCATTTTCGCTCCGAACCGTTCTTTGAACGTTGTTTCAGCTGTCATCAAGGATATGGACTTTACAGATACAAAGACATCACTGGTGCTATAGCTCACCAAGTTAGACGGTGGACTCTCGTGCAGAAGACCCGGGTTTGACTCTGGATGTGAACATAGTTTATTTAGAGTTAATTTTTTTACATTAATGGTATATTTTTTTACAGTAAGATGCCCAAATTTTTTTTGAGACTCGCCGAACGGCATTGAATTCACAGATAAAAACTATGTGGGTTCAACTTTCATTTTGGAACAATTTTTCAAGCAAGGGAAGGGAATGATCTGAGCATGCAGGAGGACTGACCCATCTTAAACCTTTGTCGGCTGTGCTGAAGAGAAAGGTACAGAACCAAATTATTTAATTAATTAGCTGCGTGTTCTCCAGTCCCCCCCCCCCCCCCCCCCCGCGCACACACACACGGGACTTTCTCAGCTGTTATTTTTGTTAAGGAGTGTGCACGTACAGCATGCGCGCCTCGTGCACCAGCTTTTGTTACGCTTTTGGCCTGAGGGGGCAATCGCGAGCAATTAAATTTCAAAGCTCTGTAAAGTTTAAGCTTGAGAAAATAGTGAATAATAGAAAACTTTCATTTTGTTTTATTCCGATAGATGCAATAATGATCCCACCTTGGGGCTTTACGGTGTTTCTCACTTTCCTTTTTTTCTCACCTTGTGTGCAGTGACTGCAAACTGTTCAGCACTGTTCATCATGTCTGCGGTCCTCTCCTCAGCCCGACCTAATCGCTCACCGCGCTCATTCAGGGCCTGGCTGGCCTTCTGTACGGCACTCGTCACACTGTCTGCAGCTGAGTGTAGTATACTGTTACCTGGAGAAAAAGGATGGGAGTGAGGAAACAAGCCAGAAACAGCAAAGGGAAGCAAAAAAGGACAGTTGAAATATAGGAAAGAACGCCATCTTTAACTCTCACGGGCCATTAAAAATGAGGTTGCACTTCTACGTATATGCACCAAATGTTATATACAAATATTTTCATTTCACTCCATTAAAGCAACCTTTATTTAAACTTTTTATTCCCTTTAGTTGCTTTTAAAATGGGAGCACACTTAAAATCAGGCATATCCAAAGGTTGGCTAAGGGGTAATTTGCACAAATGTGATTTTTTGTGCAATTGCATTTTTCAAAAAGTTGAATTTGAGTTCTCCATGAGGCTTTTGATTTACTTTTAATGTTTAATGTTCATACTTTAATCTGACCCATTTTTGATTTCTAATACTTTTCAAAAATCTAAATAAAAAAGCTTTTCCCCATATAAATATTGTTTTCTGTTTTTAACCATTTTCTTCAACCCTTTTGTGATCCTTGTACTATACTGGAGCCTTTATTACTCTCTTTCCTAAAGTACATCATGATAAAGGATAGTTAGCTGCAGCGACTGCCCCGGAGATCCAGCAGAAGATATAAGTGAGAGAACACATCCTTCGATGGCCGTGGCAGCCCTACGGATGTTTCCTCTGACAAGCCATTAATCTACCACAAGTTGGGAGATCTGTTCAGAAAGCTGCATGACAACTAGACCAAGAGCAGCCATCTCTCTGCTGCTTTCTCTGATTTTCTGCAATCGCAACATTCCACTGGAGCGCTTTATGTGGTTTTAGGGAGCCGTAGCTCAGGGCAGCATGAGAGTTTAGGAAAACAACTAATGCGTTGTAGAGCCATCGCCTACTCAGGTTTCCTTCACCCCCTACAGGAATCTGCCGTGTATGTGTGCGTCCCCCTGACTTCAAGACAGGTAGCCTGAGTGACGGGTAATTAGGAAGGCACCGGATTATGTGAGAGCCCAAAAGCAGACGGCAGAGACAGCTGCCGGTCCTTCACAAAAAAAAAGTCTGCTTGATAAAACAAAATCATTAATGTAGAGACACGCCTGTGCTGCGGACACACAAACAGGTGCACATATAAAGATTGAAATCGACATGCACACACACCAAACAGAAGTGGAAACACACGCATAAATATTTCCATCTTCAGTTTTGGAGAGATCACAGCAAATGAATCACTCTACACATGTAAAGCACATCTGGACCACTGATGAAATAAGCATCTGAGCTCTTGGAAAAAAGCATGTCTTATGACCACAGCATTACCACAGTGATTTAGTTTACACTCGGCTAAACTGCTTCAGTGGAAAAACTCACGTTTCTCTGTGAGGCTCTGTGTCACCAATAGGAAGTGTAAGACCTTTTCACCTTCAGACAGATTTCTCTTAATCCCCTCCTCCTCCAGCGGAGCTCTGGGAGTAACACTCCCATCATCCTCAGTACAACCCCCGCACTCCACTCCTTTCACTAAAAAGAACATCACCATTTATCCGCCCACTGTTTCTTTCTTCTTCCTCGTTTCATTTTTCTGTGTATTCTCAGAAGTCTGAAGCAGGCTGCGTTTGTGCCCCCCGCCCGCCCAAGTAAACTCTAGATGTAATTAGAGAAATCCTGGGAGGAGACGCTGCGGAGGGTTCAGGAAGAGGGGATGTGGTGTATCAGGGTAATGGAGATATGTGAAAACAGTACCACTAATGTGAAAATCCTCTCTTTTTCATTTGACATGATATGAATTGCATGGCACAATACAAAAAAAAATCTTAAAAAGGATGTTTTTGTGCAGCTTTGGTTAACGACACACCCCTCTCAACAATATGAAAGGAATTTTATTAATATAATTTTAATACAATTATGCAAGATTTCTGGAACAATGGCCAGAAAAGAAAAAAGTTGTTTTTTTCTTACAACAAAGATTCCTATAAACTAGAAGCAATGACAGAAAACAAACATAAAGCAGGAGCGCCCTTCCTTTATTTAATTTGCTGTAGAATCCGGGCTGCATATTAGGCTGAACTCCCATGATGCTTATCAATGAGGATATCACGCTGAACAACAGGGCTGCATTTGCTACTGCACTTTAGGGGATTTATGGGATTACACAGTATACTTCAAAAACAAACACACCCACACAAGAAATCCCTCTAACAATACAGGCTGTGGCGCTTTCAAATTATTTCCATTCCGGCAGCAAGAATATGATTCTATCATCGTTGTGCTGGATTATGCTTTAGGGTATAACGTGTGGGAGTCTGAAAGAGGAGTGTGTCTTACAATGTCGTCTCTTATGGAATAACGTGCACATGCTTATCAGCATTCTAAAAGATCCCATCTAAATTTATCTGCATTACTTCAATATTATAAAACAGGCTGTTAGGGCCGGGATATACTTGCTTTTTAACCTCGCGTTGGCGTAGGCAGCAGGCTGCGTCTTTCTGTACGTATTGCTGCTGCACGGCATTGCACTGCATGTAGTACTGGAGGAATCCACTAGGGGGAACAGTAGAGTACTGGATAGAGAGCTGGGTTTGTGGGTACAACCAAAAACAAACATGGTGTCAACGGAAGAGATCAGTAATTGGTTCATTTTGAGATCAGAGAAAAAAAGACAGCAGCGGTATCGTAGATGAAAGACCTCAAAACCAGAGTCACCTGATCAAGTGTGTCTCGCTTGTTTAGTCAACTCCACCTACTGGTTCCTCGTATAGTTCAGTGTTCAAACATGTAGCTTTGATTTCGGGGGATGCGCACAAATGACACTTCAAATCAATGCAAGTTATGTGAGGCAGCCATTTTAAACGTGTACAATGATGTAAGCTGTAATAATCTGTGAACTGATATCACTGTCATTAATAATGAAAAAGGCCAAAAAAATCTAGGCTATATTTTGAAATACACCAGATGCACTTCACTGGTGCACGTCTCACATCCTGTCTGGCTCGTGTCATTTCTTTAACTTCATGACAAGCTGCATGCAGAGACTCAATATGGTGGAAACCTCCAGAGCTCTGCATTCGGATGTGAGTTTTGGTGTTTGGGGAAGCTCAATGGAAACGGCGTTGGATTAGTCGATGTTGGAAAATGTGGTAATTTTAGAATAACCAGTTACTGGCATCTCTGTTTGGAGCTACAATGATAATATGAGAGCTACTTTAAATGCATTTAAAAAAAAATCCCAATTTTTACATTTGAATTGAAAAATATTTTCTCCCCAAGTGACTGCAACATTTATGCGTTAGGACCTGAGACACGAAACTCTCTATGAATCCACGGGACAACGAATTGAATCAAAACAGCATTTAGTACTCCATGTAACTGACTTACAACAGAGCTTGTGTGTGTGTAATGCATAACGTTGTTCCAAATGAGTCACAAAATCCTCAGGAACAGCCTTGCTGCAACTCCTGCAGGAAAAAACCTCATTGCACTTTAATTAATGCTAATCTTGGCATTACTAGTAGAAGCACAATAAAACTGAAGCAGAGATTCAAACATTGAGGGCACATCCCTTGACTTCTAACATATTTCTCTGTAGACAGTTATCGAGAGTTTTTGAATCACTTTTCTACATATTTTTAATACAGATTTTCACATTAAACTAAATTCATCCTCTTGTCATTCATTTTTTCTCCATTTCATTACAAATGGTTTTCAGTACTTCCTTATTCCCAAGAGCACTCCTTTAATACAAAGTAAAATTTATCACTGATATTTATGTCTTTCATGTTCTCCTATGCACCAAAAACACCCAGAAGTTCAACTTCCATTTGTGTCACATTTATTGCATTCTACATTAAAGTCAACTCTGCTCCTAAAAATAAACATTTAAAAAATTCAGCTCTGATGCTCACAATTAATTACTTCATTAACTGTTAATTCAATATTCCAAATCCTCGTCAATGATGCTGGCAGCAGAATATTCCATTTGATTTGTTTTTAGTTAAGGCATGCATTCCTGCATTTGAATCACTCTTTTAGTCCACTTGATTGATCATTTTGTCTGCATTTAATAGGTATTAAAGAGGCACTAAACTAAAGTTGGGTACAAACATGAAACATTATGTCCTGAATGTACCACTGAGCTTCACCAGGGCGGGCGGAAAAGTAACTAAATATTCATGAAAAGCCTCCTTCTGATGGGTTTAATCAGAAGATGAATGTCATCATCACATAACGCATTAGCAGCCATCATTTCTACCATTACAGCCCTGGCAAAGCTTCCTTGTTTATTTGCTACATGCTGTAAATTACTGAGGTCAATATTAATGTAGAAGCACAATATGAGTAGACTGCCCTTGGACGGCGTGTTGTAATTTACCTCAGAACGGCATGTGACAGTGGACAGGGTACATGACTCATGACCTTTGGATGTAAACTTAAAATTGCTATCAGCATTTGCTGAGCAGTCACAGCGTCACACTGAGGGAAATGCATCCTTGGGCTCATTGAAGGCATGCACGCACGCACGCACACACACACACACACACACACACACACACACACACACACACACCCATGTAGGGTTAGGTAAACTGAGTACTTTAGCTCAATATTTATATTACCTCTACTTGTGACCAATAAGCTGTGATACTCTATCTAAATATATATCACCCTGCCTGATCTATATAGTGTTTAATCAGAAGATTCTAGGATTCTTTATTCATTAGGGGTTTGTACACACTTCGTTTTGATTCAGAAAACAGTCAGGCTTACGAAAGTGACAATTTATTTTACAAACAATTAAAACGTGACAAATTGGTTAACTACTATTTACTGTGAGTGGATGGAACTAGAGGTGATGTCTGGAACCTATGTGTGAATGCGATGTTGGTCAGAACTTCTGTATCTCGGAGAGCTGAGTTCTAGATGTAAAAGAATTAGGTTTGCGTTAAGCTATGAGGTTGACTCTTATCAAAAACCACCTCAGACGCTATCTGTGTGTCTACATTATCCATATTCAGAGACCCTCTTGGTGGATCCGAAAGTCAGAGAGGTCGGATGACCGCTGGCACCGGAGGGCTGTAGAATACCGTGGTGCCGATCCTTTCTGTCCAGAGATGTCTCGGGTCACGACAGACGGATGGAACCGAGTGTCTGGGACTCTTAAGGAGTCTAAACAATATCAGCTTGTTCTGCAGGAACTGTCTTGTTGTATCAGCTTCGCAGGTGCGAAAAAAGGTTTTTGACGATGTGTCAAAAGCTTTGATGGTTAAAGAGGTTTTTGCTTCAGGTGGCTGGCCTGAAGCTTCTCTAGAACTGAAGAATCACCAGCGTGATCTGGTTTTAATGTTATGATGTTATGATTGTGTACCCAACCAAAGGTTGACAAGTTTGGATGTTACCAAGAATCTCAGAAACACACGCCTGTTTTGATCCGGAGGCTCTGATCTGGGTAAAAGATTAATTATGTGTCATGGACTTTACCTTACTTTGTTCTTGTGAGTGCAAATGTTATGACCTGGTCAAGTAAACATGCTGAAACAATAATTGAGCACAGATTAATGAAACATTTAATTATTTTATGATTATTACAAGTAGCAATAAACAAATGTTTATTTAATGATTATCTGGCTTATAAGTTTTAGAAGTTCATATTTAATTTTTAAATCTTCTTTCCTCGGTGAAGCAACGAGATTTAGATAAAACGGTGCTCTGTGAGGGACCTTGGAAAGAACGGGATGTCAATGTTATGATTCCAGGATGTCAACATGCAGTTCAAGATCTTGCTGCTTGTTGGCAGCTAGAATATAAAATCCACCTCGTAGGATTGAATTAGGTCTGTAGATGACCGATGACCTGTAGGTCATCTGTAGGTGAAAACTGACCATTTGTGGACATTACACCCATATCTATTTGTGTTCCGCCTTGAAAGTCTAAAAGCCCTCTGAGAAGTGCAGTGTATCTTCTGCTTTGAAGTTATTGGTTGCCATTTTTGCACAGTTATCCCTAAAACGGGTTTTCCATCGGATGAATACAGTAAGTGGCGTGTAACGTAGACACGTTTTTCTTGCCAGCTTGGGGGCACGTCCCTTCCCACCAGGAGAGTTTCACTTGCAAATCAGCAGCAAAAACGTTCACACAGCTAGTCCCGCGAGGTCATAAAATCACAAGAGAATTGCAGGATCATGCATGATTTCAGCATGTAAAAAACAGACTGGAAGTGTAAAGTTTGCAAAAAAATGTGAAGATACGCTTCTCAGACACGTCGGAGAGGTGCAGCTTAGAGGGCGGTGGTGAAAACACACTCATTGACAACGCTTCTCATGTGTTACGCAATGCTTCTGCATCATGCCTCATTCTCAACAAGTGGAAGCACAACATTGTGCTGTGAAGCGCCGTGGGAAGAAGAGCACTTCTACGGGACGCCCTTGTTGCCCTACGGTCTTGTTCACATCACCTGCGAAGCGCCGCAAAGCATGGCGAAGGCTCGCACCATGCAGCAATCGTTTCTGCATGTGCTCTACTTTTTCCACGAGCCATGAGTGAGCTGCGTTGGTTCTGGTAGGAAGTCAAACCAAAACAGAAGAGGCAGGCTGGTAAATTTAACAAAATAAAGAAATGTTTCTAAATAAAACACAGTGATTGATAAATGTGATCATTTTTGTGCATCTAAACAGACTAGAGAGATGAAAATGAACAAAGACACACACACACACACACACACACACACACACACACACACACACACACACACACACACACACACACTCCAGCGGAGAAACACAGTGTTTCCATAATTTTAAATGCACCTCACCCTAACCACAAACATTAGGTTATTTACTGAACCATTTAGAAAGGAACTGGTCTTCAAAACAGCAGCAGGACTTGCACAGTGTCCCTCATCAACAAGCAGGGCACTGGTTACACACACACACACACACACACACACACACACACACACACACACACACACACACACACACACACACACACACACACACACACACACACACACACACACACACACAGCAAGGGCATGAGGGGTTGGGGTTTGTAAAACAGTAGGTGTGTGCAGAAGCGTTCGTCAAAAATTCTCGCCTGATGTTAACAGATGAGCAGCGGGCAGCGCGCAAATCTCATTCAAAACTTATTGTCCTATTTTTACATAATAAAATAAAACAGATATTTATGTAACTTAACAGCTTAACATAAAACATATTTTCCTTTAGTTTCTTATACATTGTGCTTTAAATGGTTAAACTACTGAACACATGACTTACGCTTGACGTCATATTTCGAGAAAACACACGAAATATTAAAAATTATTAAAAATTATTTAATTATTGTAGTTAAAAATACAAACAAGACCTGGAACACATGTTTAGGTAAGGATATGATGATTTTAATTTTTTCTCATTTATTTTTAGAGCTTACCTTGTTTTTTCTGACGACCTTGATGCGAACCAAGGTCTTTCCCCATTCTGTTGAAAAAGCCTTTGCAACGATAAACTACTGTGATGAAAGAACAGTCACATTTAGCTTTCATGTCTGTCACGAGATACACTCATGAAATTAATTAGGCAGTTGAATGTTTGTGATGTTATTTTTGAATTATGAGTCAAACACTCACATTTTTATTATGTATTAATAAATCAAAAATCTTGATCAGTTGTTAAAAGTGATTAAATAAAAGAAAAAGTAAAGAGCACTACTTTATACATGTTAATGAAAAAATTTTTGATTCTCACATTAATATTCTGTTCATTTTTCGTCATGCCCCAACACAGGTAAGTAGGGGATAAAGGCTCTAACGGGAAATGGGTTGCAACATGAATATATCACTGTGGGCAGCAGTCTGAGTCAGTGCCGATAACTAGGCAGTGAGCAAATTAGCCTTTCGTTCTAGACCAATTACATGCCTCATAAAGGATCAAAATTATAGGTTTTTGCATCTGCTCCACACAACGCCACCTTCTACAAAGACCAAAGAAATCGCAACCTGCTTTCTGCAGGATGAGAACTGATCTAAGATGAGACTGATGTTGGTACTCAAGGAAATAGTGACTCCCGTTCATTCACTGTTTTTTTTTTGAGGATTTTTGTCCATGTCGTGCCACTTTTGTTCTAAAATATCAAATATGCTCAAGTCATCATCAAGTCAACAGATGCAAGTCCATTCAAGTCGCAAGTCATTGGCATTCAAGTCCGAGTCAAGTCTTTACAGATTTTATCAAGTCAAGTCAGAAGTCATTTAAATAATGACTCGAATCTGACTCGAGTCCAAGTCATGTGACTCGAGTCCACATCCCTGACCAGAGCACATTTTTTTTATTATTATTATCATGGACCCCACATTGGAAAACCACCACTTATGATTGCTGTGATCATTCCCTGCAGGAATTTCAGGACTGTCACGACCGAGTGGAACTAATAACAAAATCCAGTGATTTTCCACTTGGCAGTACAACTGTGTTTTTGTCCTTCTCACTCCAGTGATAATAAAAATTCCTTTGCCAAATGATTTGCTTTGCACCAATGAGCACAGATCTGTTCTACTTCATCTATGTGCAGTGATTAGGAAACTTATATCAGTTCTGGTTGAATCTGCCATTTCAGGCGTTTCTGCAGATTGAGTCTCCCACAGTTATGGTCCCACACCTGAGCAGCGTCATGATTTTTGTTTTGCACTGGTGTGAGACTTAAACTGTAGTGGACAGAACTGAGAGAAGGCGAGCAAGTCTGCTTTTCTTCTCATCAAAATGAGCAACGTTAACTGTCAGCTTCATTAATCAAGCGCAAAACCTTCCCTCTTCCTGTCATCGGGGGAGTTCACCATCAATTAGGAGGCAAGCATTTGACTGAAATGTCTTTTTAAACTAACACATATGCAAATTGTCATTTTAATAATAGTCTCTGTACGTGCGTAGTTGATGTGCATCATTTTTCACTACATGAATATTTCTACTTCGCTTCGGGAAGCTACCATCTTCCCACCTACGCTCACTGGGAGTAGAGGATGAACCAAGGTCAGCAGAAGAATGTTAAATATGGACACGACTGTGATTGTAGGAGGGAGGTCGACACAACATAGCAGGGTTAGGACGATACGGCAGCTTTATCATGAATGAGTAGATAACCATTTCCCACACATTGACAAAAAAGAAACTCAAAGCCTAAGAGAAATTACAGAATTAGGTTTTTGCCTCGCTGCATCTAGATTCATATGAATGTAACCCAAAGTTGTAGGGCAGATGGACAACAAGCAGTTTTAAGATATTTTCTATAATTTATTACATGAATAATAGAACAGGCTGAATGATACTCTGAGCTGAGGATTGAAGATAAACAGATCAATATCTGATAGAACCACCCAGGATGTTGCATTTTCAATGGCACCCACTCTCCACTACAAGCTAAACCAACACATATTATTTATATAAAACATCTGGAAACATGCTCAAACTTGATCTGTTCACCTGGTTTTCTTTATCCTTTTTACAGGGGGGTGATTTTTCTCTCCCTTCGATCTTCTGATTTAGTAAAAGAGGAATAACTAAATGTTAAGAATTAGTTAAAAATGAGTTTCGTACAGAAAACATATAATAAAAACTGTAAACACCAAAAATAAAAAGAGTAACCTGAGTAATTATGTGTGCTGTAAAAAGTAGCTTATGCCAGTCAGATGCTTTGACTTAAAGCTGACATATTTGGTTTGACATCTTCGTCCCCAGAGTATATACACAGATGCTGTGTACAAGGAATAAGCACTCATTTTCATACACACCAGGTGCTGGTTGTCATCACACATAATTACATTCAGAACTCACAGCAAACGGGTTACATCACTGTAAAGCCATGCCTTTATGACTGATTTAGTTAAATGAAGTTAGCAGCGTTTGTTTTTATCTGTTTTAGATTTCTTACCACCGAGCAGCTTGGACTGACAGTTGACAAACTCGGGTTTCCGCGCTGAGCAGTAGCGTTGGCAAGAGTGGTGAAGAATCTGGATGAAGGTGCACTTCTCTCCTCCTGAACTAGCAACCCACTGATCCAAACCATTGTCAAACATAAGGTCAAACTCTGGACAGTCCTTAAAGACAAAAAGAAGACAGAAGTAGGACTTTTGCTCTTGTGTACATAAAATTATAGTTTGTTGAAACCACTGAAATTAGGGTTGCGTGATATCCCAGCATCAACATCAGCATCGGCTAAGAGTAGTCATTTTTTTTAACATTGGTCTCGATCCAAACAGTAAAATTGGGTCGATATTAACCAGCAGTGTTACTCTCTATGTTGGTTTTTGCATACATGTTTCAGGAAGGGGGAGGGGGTTAGGCCGTGGGGTATTGTTTTGGCGTGATGCGATAGTGATGCAGTGCAGGAGTGTGGGGCTGAAGCAGAGAGGGAATGTAGATTAGCGTGATTGCTTTTACACTCTGCCAAAAGTGTAGAGAAATATATATATATTTTAGCTATCATTATTATCAGTGATCAGCAATAACAGTAGTATTAATATCAACTATCGATATCAGTCCAAATTTTAATATTGGTGCGACTGAAAAGACTTACTTTGCTGGTGTCAATGCCATTGACCTGCCGTAGCTGGTCGAGTGTCCACTGTGATCTTTTGATGAAAGACGAAGATCCTTGGAACTGCTTCACTTTGGTGATCGATACGTGAGAGGGTTTCTTATTTGTGACTGTGGGGAAAAAAAAAAGAAAAAGCAGCAAATCAGGTGGATGCATCCATGTCTAACATGAAAATTAAAACCCTAACCCACGTAAGTTCTTCTAAAAGGACTGAACTTTCACGAGGAACATCATACATGCATGCATCCTGTATAAGGATGTGCAGTAAAACCAGTCAACATACGTCTGGACAACTCTGGATTCTGAGACCTTTTTGTCTTCATCAGTAACAATAGTCTTTTGTTTCCCCAATATAACCCCAGAACAATCATTTGCGGTCGTGTCATCTCAGAGCGAGGGATGTGCTTAGTTCACTTCCCTCATGCTTCTATATCAACTCTAAAAACAAACACTACCAGCTGTCCATTATTTTCCATTTTTCCAGTTGTTCAGTCTCACTTTGCTAAAGCTGCACCGCACCCGTCTCTCGGGAGGATCTTTAGAGGTAGGACTCATTGTTGCATCAGGTGAAACGTTCGGTTTGCAAACTCCCATGAGAAAATGGCTGTTTGCTTAAGTGTTGTGTATCCATTTTGACAGCTGCTGCTAATACTGGTTCATGTTATTCAAGGGTGGAAGGAACAAATGGACACAGAGATGGACGCAGCAAAGATAGAACAATAGACTTCTTTCATGTTCTAGAAGACTATTAAATCAAACAGATTGGTACATATCAGACAGGCATTGATCCACTGATTAAAAAAAGTCTATCCACTTTTGCTTCATGACCAAAACAGATAACTGAAATTTTTTTGTTTTTGATTAAAAAGTCAATTTGCAACAATCCTGTGATTAAAACATTTATCACTTTTAGCCATTACAGATTAGTGAACTCATGAATGTGAACAAAAAAATAAAAAAAAATGAAAAAAATAATAGTATCTATCTATCTATCTATCTATCTATCTATCTATACATACATACATACATACATATATATATATATATATATATATATATATATATATATATATATATATACATACATACATACATACATACATACATACATTACATACATACATACATATATATATATATATATATATATATAAGTTAAAAGATTGACAAACCTTCAAAATAAAAGAAAGAAAATGTAAAACTTTTAAAACTTAAAGTCAATATCAAGTGTCTAAATACTAAAAATGTTTCAGTTGAAGACAATAAAGTATTATAGTACAAGAAGACAATGTCTACATTTATGGATATGGGGTGCAAGAAGGTTAAAGCAGAGAAAAATCAATTTGTGGACTACATGGTGAGTGTGGTCACATAAAACCTTCCGCAGTTTAAAGTGACATTGTCTACTTTTTACCAATAATCTCTGGAAATATCCATCAAAATGTTGTAGTAAATGACTAAAAAGATGCCCAGTTGTTGAAAAAAATTGGCAGTTCCATAACATGTATAACCATGAAAATCTATTGTAAAATACATGGGAGCGGGTCTAAGTCTCTGTGCAACACCATATTGGATGCCATGTTTCCTTTTATGGAAGTCTGTGAGGACAAAATGCATTTATTGATTTGTAACAAATGGTTGCAAAACTTTCACCTTTGATAAACATTGTTGCTGTACACATTTACCTCTTCACTCACTGCCAGCGATGAATAGTAATCCGATGTTGTTATTTTGCAGGAGGTTGCACTCCCAGGTATTTTTTACCCTAATAGTCATCTGTTGGTAAGGTCTTACTTGAACAGCAAAATAATGCTTGCTTGCAGTGATTTAGGTATGTACTGCCCCCTGTCACCAGAGAAACTACACACTGTCACTTTAAGAAAAAATAAAAGCAGCATACTTTTAATAAGATACATTTATAAATCTTTAAAGAAAGAATAGTGAAAAACACTGTATACATGTTTGAACAATGTATTCATGTTGTCTCATTTTTTGGGAAAAAAATGATAATTCTAAATTTTTACTATTGTAAAAGATATAAGGATGCACTTTTACATAGTAAAAAATCTAAATGGAAACCATCACCTGGTTTGCTATTGCGAGTGGGCGGGGCCTCGTATACTCAGTCTATTGTAAAATGTAGTAGCATAGCGGCATTACACCAATTCTTGTCTTAAAGCATTCAAACAGAGTATTAGGATCAACACCTTCATGTTAGAAATATGATTAAAATGAACCAAACATTAAATTAATTCTATCTGATCAGTTCCTCACCCTAAAATTACAGCACACTTTACCTGAAAGCATCTATTGTTTTCTTTTTAAACCCAAAACTGTGACCTTGCATATAAATCACTGAACTGCACCACTGAACATGTGAAAGACTCAAAATATCTTGAGGCCCTGGAGGTAAACTGTCAACACTTCAACAGATGTCTTAATAAAACCGCCAGACACCTTTGAGGCTCTCAAATCAATTTCATATTCAACTGTCGACTCCCACCTTGTCTGGGCTGCTCCCTTGAATATTAACGCTATTACTCAAAGCGAGAAAAGACGGCTTTATTGAAATGGAAACCAAGTGAGGAAAAACAAGCTCCTGAGGTTCTAGTCAACTTCAATCCACTTTTATGATACATTTAATTAAAGAGGTCCTAGTTGAACAGTTTGTTTAACATCATCAAGCATGATGTTGAATTATTTTCTGTAAAATGATATTTTGCATGGATTTGAAATCCCACCCAGCTTGAAAACACTCTAAATACCACTTATTAGTGCTGTTGCCAAGTCCCTCAGCGGATCCACTGAATTCTTGTGGCAGTGTAAAGATAAACATATATACTTCCTTATAAATAAACTGAAAATATGAACCTTCGCAATGACAACTTGTGATAAGAAATCACACCCTGAACCAGATACTAAAGTGTTTAAAACTCAATAAGGAAAAGAAAAAGGAAGGAAAGCCTAAAGCCATTCAAAGGCTACCAAAACACATTGTTTCCATTCACGAGGGCTGGCTTTCAGGGGAAAGCTGTGCTGGTGTTCCTGTCCTCCTCCATTTCTCATGCTCCGATGGTGACATACTCTCACTTCCTGCTGTGTAATAAACAAAAAAAAAACCTCTTGTTGTTTCTGACAATGTGAGAGGTTTGCAGACAGAAGGAAAGGTCACACAGTGTTCTTCGCAGACTGCAGGCTTCAAAAAGGAATCGGGATCAGATTACCTTCAAGGAAATGTTATCACAGTTGTGGTTGTTGTAAGAAATGCAGGAAATACTGATGATTGCATGAATGTAAACTCACAATGAGACCACCTACATGGACATAAATTTTACTTTTCTTATTGCTTGTTTAGATAGAATAAGTATTTTTAACTCCCATGCTTGCAAAGAGACTCAAAATATGAAGACAAATATTCACCGTACAGTCTGACGGTGCTGCTGCTTGTTCTGCCAACATTCACCCACCGAGAGATCCACAAAGCAAGACACCTCTGCTGCTTTTAGAAACTCAAAAATCTAAGTTGCCACACAGTCCTCCATTTATACCTCACTGTAACTGATAAAGGTCAAGAATGTCTTGTTAGCTGGCCTGAAAAGTTGAAAGTGTTCAAAGAGCTCAACTCTTCAAAGAAACATTTCTCTGTTTTTATCACTAGCAGGTGGGCTAAGGGTCCCCCGACCAATCAAGACTCACTCATCAATAGTCAATCTGCTCCACATTAGGCACATGGTTGCCAAGGGGATCTTGTTTTGAATAAGACAAATGCACACTATAGAAGAAGAGGGTTACACAACAAATTATGAGGCCAAAGGCCACGTCTGACACTTAAAATCCATTTGAATAACATTGAAACCAGGAAAGGCTAGCGAATGCTAAGTTCTGCACAATAAAGAAACGTTGGATCAGTGTTTGCCTGGCTTGGCAAGAGCTTGGTCTGTGTTTGTTTAATAAAAGCGCTATCAGGGGACATATTAGGAGTAGGATGAAGATATGACTGGTCTCAGTAAAGCAAATGAGTCTAAAGTTTTGGAAATAAAGGCAATTTTTATATTTAAATTACTTAGGTGGGTCTTTGGCTAATTAAATTTAAAAAAAGGATATTCTTGGCTTGCGTGAAGAAACGTTTGGGCAAAGATTCCTAGGATTTTGTATTGGAAACAATGTGACAAAATTATAAAGAACAGGCAAAATAAGTATTTGACCCATCAGCATTTCTATCAGTAAGGGTTTTTCTAAGTGGGCTATTGACACAAAATTTGCACCAGATGTTGCCATAAAGCCAAATATTCAATTCAGACAAAGAAATCAGGACATTTAAGTACACAAGTTGAGTCACAATAAATAAAGTGACACGACACAGGAAATAAGTACTGAACACACTTTATTTAATACTTTGTAGAAGAGCCTCCGTTGGTGTTTACAGCTTCTTGATGCCGCTTGTTTGAAGAAGCCAGTTGTCTGCACTGCTCAGGAGTGATTCTGGCATAGCTTTTCCATGGGATTTAGGCCTGGGCCATTCAAGCAACTTGATTTTCTTTCTTTGAAACCAATTCCTTGTTTCCTTGGCCTTCCGTTTGGGATCATTGTCTTACTGAAATGTCCACCCTCTTCATTTTCAGCTTTCTGGTAGATGGCAGCAGATTTTTATCCAGAATGCCCCAGTACATTTCTCAATTCATCCTGCCTTCAATAATATGAAGTCTTCCAGTACCCCCTGCTGAAAAGCAGCCCCATCATGATGCTTCCACCCCTGGACTTCACTGTTGGTATGGTGTTCTTGGGGTGGTGGGCAGATCTATTTCTTCTCTGGACATGGTGTGTAGAATGGCAGCCATAATTTTGGTTCAATCTGATCATACTACAGTCTCCCAGTAATCCACACGCTTCTCTAAATGCTGTTTCCATAACTTAAAGTGAGCCTCAACATGCTTTTTGTCCAGCAATGGAGTCGTGAGGTAAGCATGCATGGATGCCATGGTGGTTCAGTGTATTGCTTATTGTTTTCTTTGAAACAACAGTACCTGCTGATGTAAGGTCTTCCAGTTCTGCACGAGTTGTTCTTGGCTCTTGGAGAACTCCGATTATTATTTGGACAGGAACCTTACAT